AGACCCCAGCACCCCCAACAATTAGGCACAGGAGGCCCCTTGGAAGGGGTCTAGTAATTACTTCTGACTCAGTACATTGATGCCTGCATAGCACAGACAGTCCTGGACTTTTTGGGAAAGCATTTGATTTGGTGCTATTGGCCTCCCAGCTGCATAACAACCCAGGCTGCTGAATCTAAGCCACTACTCCCCTATCCTGTCAGTTAGGACAAAACAGTGAATGGATCTAGGAGAGGGCCTTTCTTGGAAAAGTCACATTGGGAAGACAGATTCTGATTCCCAGGAGGCCTCGTGTGTGTGAATTAAGGATTATCATCTTATTTATAGTTGAGCAAACTGAGGCTCAGAGTAGTGAAGCGGCTTGCTCAAGTCTGGGCCCAAGGCCTGAGCTTTGTTCATTTCCCCATGTGCTGTCTCTACACACATTAGGGTCCATGATCCAGGTTGGAACTTCTGGAGAAAAACAGACTCCCATCTGGCTCCTCCAAAACCCTCAGCTCCAAGAACAGTTATTGTCCCCAAATAGTTCTAAATGACTTCTGGTCCTTTCCAAAAAAATTATCCTCAAAGAAGCAAGGTTTATCTCCCAATCACATACATACATGCATCCTTATACTCCAAACTGTCACTTCAGACATCCTGTCTCTCTCTCACACACACACTCATTCGTAAAAAGGACTCATTCAGTTCTTTAGGGTGCTTACGTGAGAGAAATTTAGGGCCAGCACTTCAGTGACTCTACAAAAAGATGTCATGCCAATGCCTTGCCAACAGAACCTCTGCCAGCTATAGAAGACCTTAGCCAGCTTGGGCATACCCAGGTGAGGGCCAAGTGAGGCTTGCTCTCTACACCCAACCCAAAGTACACTAAGAGGGGGTGAAGACTCAAGCTACGGGTCAGAATCCCAGTTAGCCACTTCCCAGCTGGATGCCTTTGGCAAATCATTTATCTTTTCAATTTCCTTATCTGTAAACTAAAAATATGCACAAGAGTGGGCTGTTAGGAGATTAAAAATAAAGCATGCCCTCCTTCAGTCAAGAGTTCTCAGACCTTTTTCACCTCTCTCCCACCTTCTCCTCCTGGCCATGGAAGTGCAAAATCCCTGGCGCAAAAGTATGAGAGAGAAGAGCCCAGGATGGGCCTAAAGGACAGCAATCCCACTGTGTGAAGAACCTCCTCTCTGGAGATCAGCCATCTGAGGTTGTCCATATTCTGTGCTGGTTGTTTCTGGGGGGCTTTGGAGACTTCGAACTGTTCAGTGGGTCCTAAGACTGCTACTCATTGCCTTGAAATGTCTTCCCCTCACTGAGCATTAACTGACCTCTCTGGGTCACTTTCAGCCCAAATCTAGAAAACGGATTTAACAGTATGTTCATTCTCCAGTTTACCAGGTTTATGTTTTCATAGTTTCCTATTATCAGTTATTTAGTGCCTTTTTTCAAAGCAGGCATTTCCTTTGTTCAAATGAAATCTTATTCAGAGACCTAATATATAATAAAGTGAGCCTTGCCTTCAGGTGGAGACAGCCAAGCACTGCAGTCTATTACTGCGTTTCCCATTCATGCCTCCTCCCTGTCAACCCTTGCCCTGAGACGACTAAGGAACCGACACTTCCGAATCCTGTTCATTCATCCCAGCCATTACCGACCTCCCACCAGTCGGCGAGAACACAGCCTGGCCCGTCCTCAGTCACCTCGGCCTGTTGGTCACACTGTTAGAGGCTTTTCTTCCTCCATCTTCTCCTACAATGTGGGTGGCTCCCAAGGGTCTCTCCTCTCCTCTTGACCTCCCCATTCTTCACCTGTCTCACCCACTTCCAAGGCTCCTAGCTTCTCTCTAAACTTCTAAGTCCCCAAGAGTTATCTCTAGCCCAGTATCTGCCCTCAACATCAGACTGTATTATATTCACTGGCTGCTGGCCACAGAATAGGTATCCATTTGAGGACAAGGACATAAAACAGGGACCCCACAGGATGAAATGGCTGACCTGGGTTCAGCAAAACCCCTAACCAGTCTTAAGGCAACTACATTAGAGAAGTGGCCAGGACCTGATGTTGGGGGAAGGGTCCGAGGAGGTGAGTGTGGAGTGGAGGTGGGGGCGCTGTGTGGTTTTCAACTACCTTCGCTACATCTCATTGTCTTGCTTTCCTACTTTCATTGTCATCTTAGTCCTAACCATCATGAACATACTACACTGAGTCACTGCAAAGAAATCACTACTTCCAAACCATCCGACACTGCTAGCTAGGTGCAGGTGAGTTAGCTATGTCTACGGCTTTAATCAGAAAAAATATGGGTATTTAAGACTGCAGCATGTCAGAATTAGCTTAAACGAAGGAAGGGGTTTATGAAAGCTATGGGTGGAGGGGGATTAAACATTGCAACAGGTTTCCGAGAGTGCTAGATTTCTACTTGTGGAGGAGACCCAGTCTTCTCTGTGGTCAGTTAAGAGCAGTGTGGTCAAAAACACTCGATACTCTGAGCAGTTACGAGATGGAAACCATGGGGCAGACAGCTCCCAAGAGGAAATCTGTTTCCGAAGCTGGTGGGAGCTTTTTTGGTCCTGCCACTGGGAAGCTAGCAGTAGGTAGTTACTAAGGCCTGAGACAAACCTAAGACCTTGACCGGGAGCTCTGGTCAGTTCATTCTTTGTCTCCGAGTCACCCTCTGCCCCAGGGGAACAGCACTGTGGCCCTAAAGGATTATGGGTTGGTCTGGGAATTACAGGAGAAATTTTACCTGCTTTCTAAGTTGGGGGCCAAGTGGGAAGGGAACTGAGGGAATATAGGGAAGTGGCAGCAGCTTGCAAGACTTTCAAAAAAGCTTTAGCTGGGGTCTTCAAATGGGAGCTGATGCAAGGGGCAAGGGGCCTGATGGTTCCTTTACAGGCATTTGCACCATCCAAAAAAGAACTGGACCCTTACGCATCAGAGGACCTGTAGCAGGATCATCTAATGCAGCCCCTTTTTTTATAAAAGGAAGTCACGACTTGGGTTGAGTGATGAGACCTCAAAACTACCGAAGAGCTCAGTCCGTCTAGCAAGGCTTTCTTCCTGGCCCAACTTCTTGCCAGGTCTCTGATTTGAGAGTTTCCATTACGTGTCTCTGGTTTTTCCTAGTGATAGAAGGCCTTTAAGGGCAGGAGTCCCATCTCCCTAAAGCTATGATGCTAAATAGTCCAGTCTCCCCCAAAACCAGTCCCATTCCGCCATTTATGGGCACATGCTGACATGGAGATTGACAACGGTGGGCCTCCTAGGCTGAGGATGCCGGAGCCCCTGTCACCTCAGGAGTCCCATCATCCTAGCTGACAGGATGGGCAGGGTAAAGGGACCAATGCTAGAGGGAGTTAAGTTCAAAAAAAAAAAAAAAGCTATCAAATCAGAAACAGAAGCCTGAGTTAGCCCACAATGCTCACGCTCTCTCTCCTGAACATTTCTTCTTCATTTTATATTCTCAACTATACAATCCAGCATTTAATTATGGGTTCTCTTGCTTTGTTTCACCAAATCTCCTGTGTAAGAGCCTTGACTTCCTGCACAGATTCAGGACTCTGTCTCTGTCCTCCTCTTTAACTCCTTCAACACCTATAGCACAATTCGGCTCACACTGAGCATCAGTTACCTTCCCGATGATAAAACCTACATGTAAACAATGGCGGTGGGGGGCTGGGGAGTGCTACTGCTCCCTTTCACCCAGATGTAGATGCCAATTTGCTAGCCTTCCTGAAGGGACATGGAGTGACACAGGAATTCTAAAACCTGGATCATTCTGTCACTCATTTAACCATTTACAGGGCAGGACCCAGGAATCTGCATTTTCATGGAACTCTTGCAAGTGAAAGCCTCACGAATCCTAAGACATGAAATGAGAAACTCAGGTATAACTTCTGAATTTACAGAACAGTTGGGTTTTAGCCTCTTCAAATAAACGACAGCTCAAGATCTTTTACCACTAATCCTGTTTTCTACACATTTCACCAAATGCTTAACCTCTCCAATTTCTCAGATTTCATGTATCTCTGTTCACTTGTTATGCTTCCTTGCCCCCAAGAGAATAAAAGTTCATTCAGGGGAAGGACTGGCTTAATCTTTTGCTCTACACTTAAGCTCTTGATCAAGGTAAGAAACTCAAGAAAAATTTGTAGGCAGATCAGGAGATGGATCCTTAGAGGGAGTCTAATGTAAGAGTGAGGAACAGATACTTTACAGTCAGAAGGTCTAGGTTATTGGCTGTGGCAAATTAATTTTCCTATGCCTCATTTCTTTTTTTCTGTCAATACCTACCTCAAAAGGTTGTTTTGAGGGTGAAATGAGATACTACCTAGACAGCACTTTGAACACTACCTGGAATAGAATTAAGTATCCAGTAAGTGTTAACTGCTATCACTTTTATTAAGAACACCCCAATATCTGCACACTTTCCAGGCCAGAACTGCCCCAACTGGGCAGACTGTCATTAGTCAACAGGGATCAGCTACATGGCACAGGGAGTGGCCCTACATGGACAAAGCTTTGGGTTCCATTCTAAGAGGGGATGCATATGACTCAGTATCTTCCCACAAAGACCGGTACACCCATATGTATGGAGTTTCCCTGGAAGAATGAGTCCTTTGGTACTCTGCAGACCTGTGCATCCTACCCAGGTGGTCCTATCTGGAAGAATTAGTCACCAATTCTGTCTCCCTTCCAGTCTACTACTTGCAGCATGGGTTTAAGAACAAATACCTTGAATTTAAGAACTGTTTGCACTCTCAGAGGAGAGCAATAAAAACCTCTGGTTTCCAAAGACAAAATACTATTTTCATCTCTGAGAGGCAGCAATGTAGTGTAGGGGCCAAAGGCTTTGCAAGCAGACCAACTTGAGCTCCAGTTCTAGAGCAAATCGCTGTAACCCTCTGGACCTTACCTTCCTCATCTATACAGAAATAGAAGGGAGGGAGAATAATAATCTCACTGGATTGTTATGAGCTTTGAATGAGGTAGTGAGGGAAAAAGCATCAAGCATAGCTGGCACCCTCAAGCACTCAACTGGTGCTGGGGTTTCCTTTATTTGCCCAGCATTAGGGCCATGACTTATGGACTAGGTGGGTGGCTCTCAGAACTGACAGTCTCAGATACTGAGGCCTTGGGTCCCTCCTTGCCTCCCCATCCCTCCCAGACCAGCTCTTGGACACCCCCTCCTCACCTTCCCAGCCCCATACTGCTACTAAATTGATGAAGCTAAAAGGGTTTGATCATGTCGGTATATTTAGATGTAAATACAAAACTGTACCGCTATAAGATATTGAATATGAACATTTACAGTTATTTTCTGAATCTGACTCAGTCCATTGATGTTAAATACAAAATGAAAAGATTGTAAAAATAAGAATATATACATTCAAAGAGCTTATTACAGTATAAAATTATTGAGGTCTGATCAGCTGCCAACCTCATCTGCAGTGGGGGAAGGTCTATGGGTTCCTGTGGTTTTCTTGGGAATGTGAAATGCTGGGACTCTTAATTCCATCCCTGGCACATCACGTTGGGTGGGCCAGGAGCAGAGAGCGGACAAGTTGGGTAAAAGGGTGCGAACAGTGATTGTAGGGGGCTGCCTCCCTCAGCCAAGTGTTCAACTTTTTACTGACCCAGAACCCACCCAGCTTGAGCCCGAAGGTCTGGCAGTCTAGTAGGCTGGAAGAGATGGGCATCTGAATGGACAGGGCCAAGCTGTATAAGGAAAGGAACTTTCTAGCAGAAGAAAAGAGCCCCAGCCCATTCTCCCAGGGAGGGGTTCTTATAGCCGTTTCCCCTCTCTTACACCTGGGCCCCCTCTCTTTCCTTATAAGACTCTGTACCGATGTTTTTGGCACTGGCTGTTCAGCCAGCTTATTTCTACTACCAGACCCCAATCTCCAAAAAGTAGAGAGAGGAAAGAAAGTGCCTGGAATCACAGTGGAGGTCTATCCCCAAAATTGACAAGTAAACAGAATTATCGTTAGATAAGGGTGATCCATGCTGAATTAAACCAATGTCACCACAAACCAGTATTCTTGGTTCTAACAGGCAGCATCCTAGAGAGAGATAAGTCATTATGTAAGGATGAGGGCCTGTGGCAGGAGCACAGAAGAGTGGATTACGTGTGTGTCCTCTTCTACCACTCTGTGGTCTGATGCCAGGAGACGTGATCCCCAACCCCAGCTAGCCCAGGATAAACAGTAGGGTCCAAGGAGCACTGTAACATGGAGCCCCAGGAAATTTTACAAAGGAGTATCTCTGTGTATATGTATTTATAGAATACGAACATATTACCACATACAATATGTATCATATACACACGTACATATGGACCCATACACGTAAGTGCACATACACGCACATGTGCGCGCACACACACACACACACACACACACACAGAATGACAGAAGACTGGAATACACGCCCTAGGTATACCGTGCTTGGCACTTGGGACGTTCTCCAGAATATGTAACTTGGTCACGCTCATCGTGAAGGAAGGTGGATGCTCACCAAATCTGCCCATCAAATCCTAGCAAAAGGATAGAATGGGAAAGAGACCTCAAAAAGAAGAATGGTACTGGGAAAGCGGGAGGAAGTTTCTTTCCCACTTACCTCGGGGCCCCTGGCAAAAACTGACAGCCACAATTTGGTTTTAATAAGGCACAGTTCGATAGCAGGTGCTAGGAACTAAGAACACATTGCTGCTGGCCCTTTCTAGTGGCGACTTTACCACATCTACCTAGCCAATGGGAAAGGCTGCCTTGTATGCACGCATGCACTGGGAAAAACAAGAGGCTGGTCCAAGGCTTCAGCGGAACTGATGGCAGCCTATAGGCTCAGTGGTGTCCAGGGTGGTTTAAGGAAGGCTGGCCAGCAGGCAGGAGGCTTGTGGGACAGTTACTGACTATCCATGGCCAGGAGGTTGTGGCTGGAGGGCACCATGCCTTCTCTCTCTGCAAACTCCAGGACTGCCTTGTAGCAAAAATAGTACTGCTCTGGGGTCTGGATGCTGAAGGCCCTCTGGGTCCTCATGCGGGACACCGTCTGGAACACATTAAGGGTGCCGAGCTCCTCCAGCTGAGCCAGGCAGATGTCCAGTGAGCAGAAGGTACCTGAAGGAAGGAAGGAAAGAAGTCACACCTGGTCTGCCTCTCCCATTTCCCTCCCTCTGCCAGTTAACCCGGGCAAGACTGGATGATGAATTCAAAGGCAAGGTGCCTCATGGCAGGAGGCCAGCTGGCTAGGCCTGAAAGGACTCGAGGAGGAGGTCACAGGCAGTGCTGGAGACCAGAGAAATGTGAAGGCTTCTTGTCTTTCAGGACATATGTGGGGGTAATAGGAAAAGTAGGCATGAAGGTGACAAAAAGGAACTACCTGCTTCAATCTCAGTCAGAACCACAGCATTCCCACACCTGGGCCCTAATTTTCAAAGACAAACCTATCCTTCTCCCAAACGGAACTCTATACGAGAAAGGCCAGCAGCCCCTGCAGTGCACATCCCCTTGAGGGAAAAGCTGCTAACCGGCTCCGAAATGAAGAACACAGCACAGGGTGGGAGTCTCCCCAGGGAGGTGGATGGGAAGGAAGTACAGCCTAGCTGAGCTCTCTGGGACACCCAAGTGACGGTGATGGGGTCAGAAGATAATCACATGATAGGCTAAGCATCAACCACTAGAGAGCCTGGCTTGGGAAGTGTATATTCTGGCCAGCAAACCTAGCACTAGGGATACGACATTAAAGAGGAATTTTTCATGGCAATTTACCACCAATGGATCAAATTCTCTCAAACTGGCAACTAAGAGCTTTGTTATTCTTCCCCACCCTTACTGCCCCTGGATGCTCTGAGAGCTGCACCGGGTGCATTACCTGTCCTGCCAATGCCTGCACTGCAGTGGACCACAATGGGTGGCTCAGGGCACTGCCCTCTGGAGCGTGCTCCCATGCTGACGGCCAGCCTCTGCTGGTTCCTGACCACTCTCAAGAAGTCAATGAGGGAAGCTGCTGAGGAAGGGACACCATAATCTGGCCAGCTCAGGAACTGAAAGTGGGTCACCTGGCGTTTCTGCCGCTCCTTGAATGAAAAAAGAAGAAAAGTTAAAGAGGTCATTTCTGCTTGCCCCTGACTACCTTCAGCTTTTCCAGATTCTCAACCCCTGGGGTCCCCATCTCCAAAGTTCCTGACTACCACCCTCAACCTTTTCCATCATCACTTCTCTACAAACCCCCAAAAATGACTGAATATCTGGAGCAGGCAAAATTTCCACATTGTAGGATTTAGATTTCTTGGTGTTGAGACAATACAGCTGTATTGGCTCTGAGTTGAATATCATGATCCTGTTCCCAGAGAAATACATTATAAATTCCCTGAAATCCTACCTATGCCCTTTAGAGGTTTTTATTGTAAAAGTTCTCCCCCAGCTGTAGTAAGTGAGAAAACAGAAACCTGGATTTACCTCTGTGTTGTGAATTTCTAGCGTTGTTTTCTTATAATGGTTCATGTTCTCCACGCCTAGATTGGTCACTGTGAGGAAGCCAAATCGGATCCGACAGTCTTTTTCTAAAGGCCAGTATTGGCCACACTTTCTTCTGCCGCCCTCCTCAAAGCTGAAGACACACAGAGCAGGGTAAGCCTTTCATCCTTCCTCTGAACAATAATAACCTGCTCTCCCCATGACCTGCTACATGCACTGCTAGGCAGCAGAATCATCTCTTGTACCGCTCCTACCTAACTTACACCCTTGCTGTTTGGCAGAAAAGAAAAAAGAAAAAAAACTTTATTCTAAACAGATATAACTCATACTCATTTAGGAGACATTTTCAAGTAGCTGCTACATCATTTAGCCCCTTTCCTGATACCTCTTGGTACTCCTCACACACCTGGATAAATTACTGGGTGAACAAAGACAGATAGTGGAGAAAATGTACGAGGCCAGATTGAAACCTCTGCCCCATCACTTGACCACGGTTCATTCTCTTCCCCAAAATAAGGTCCCTTGGCTGGTAAAGGAGTGGGAAAGTCACAGTTCCTCAAATGCCAGCAGGAGGTTTGTATAAGGGCTTAATGGCCACCTCCTTAATTTTCAAAGTGTCCGTGGTTCCCAAGTGCTCCAGTGTGGGACCTCCCCCACTGCCTCCTCTCCGAATCAAAGGTGGGGGTGCCAGTGCCGGGAGGAAGGGAACTGAACAAACATTTTCATTAATTTCTTTCAAAATTTCAAAAAAGATTCCTTTCATTAAGAGCTTTCTGCCTGACCTATTACATTTCACCTCTCTTTTCTTTGCAGTTCTATAGGTGGAAGTGTGAACAAGAAAGAAAATGATTAAAAGTAGCCGGGAAAAGGGAAAGCAGAGGGAACTGGTGATTCCGAAGTCAGGAAGACGCTGCCCTTTGGAAGGAGGGACCAGTTTAAAAGTGAATTGACTCATATTTTCCAGTACTTCCTTTAGTGGATAAGACCAGGACCTCAGAATAGGCCGTAACTGGTACAGGGTCCCAAGAGCCATGCATCAAAGCTCGACAAGTTAGACCTATCAGTCTCCACCATACTCTGGCTGTGCAAATTCTGGGTCAGCTAAGAAAAAGCTAAGACATCTCAAACTGTCTGCTGTGGCTTTCCCAATCCTCATTGTTTCTAGGAGCTCAACTCCTCTCTTGAATTACCCATACTTGGGGACATGGTGGGGGGAAGAGGGAAGTGGGAAGAAGACGTATGCACTCACCGGGTGGTCATGACAATCACCAAGACTTTCTGCTCCCAAACCATGAGCCAGAAATCACCATAGGTATTCTCTAAAGGGCCTGGAATGAAAGGAGAAAACAAACAACAGGACACTGGGAATCACTTCTTTCTTTACTTGGCTCTTCCGTTTTCCTCCCAAGTAGCTCCGAAGCCCAGACGCCGGTTCCCTGCTTGTCTCACTGCATCCCTGCTGTTCACAGTGCTCTTGGCCCAGCACCATCGTATGGGGGAGTGTTGGAAATGCACAATCCGCATTTTAGTAAGATCCCCAGGTGAAGGTGTAGGTAGGTTACAGTTTTACAAGCACCGTGACAACCCTCGAAGCCCTGTCATCAAGGCTTCAGTTATCACCTCGATATGGACAGCGCCAACTGTGTACGTGTCTCTCTAGCTGTTTTCCTCTCACCTAAGCCTTATGATCACCCGTTGCCTACCGACCTATTCCCCTTCCATGATCCATCATCTCCTCAGACCCAACATGTTTGAAATTCCATCTGCTCCTTCAAAATGAGCTTTATCTCTCCACTTTCCCAACACTGTTAACAGTACTGATATTCTTAAAGCACTCAGTCTTAAAAAGTTGGGAGTCAATTCTGACTCATCCATTTTCCTCATCTCCCAGAAGCAGTCACTAAGTGCTAGAGATTTTTTGGTTTTGAAATGTTTTTGGTTTTTATCCTTTCACCTCCATATTCATTTACCTGCCTAATTTCACTGCCACAAGGACCATATCATCTTTTGACTGAGTTACTGTAATACCATCTTGGCTTGCTTTTCTGAATAGGACTCTTTTTCATCCAGTCTATTATGCATAACCCTGCCAGTTTAATCCCTCTAAAAAAAGTAGGTTCATCACAATACAGACAGCTCTTGATGGCACAGCTAGATCAAAACAGCCTAACCGTCTAATGTATATGGTCTTACATCATTTTACTTTGTGAAAATTAATCCTGTCTCTGTAAGCATGGTGCTGAGGACAAGGGCCATATCCTCAAGTTCTCCTTTTAGAGTCAGAATCTACACAGAACTGGGTACTCAAAAGAAACTCTGAGATACTTGTGTACTAACAACTACCCTTTCAATCAAGGGAGCAGCAACTCAGGATAACTCCTCCAACGTTCCCAGTCCGTTCCTCCCCTGCTTTCAGGCAATGAGGGCACTACCAAGGGTTAATTCTGTCCCTGAAGTCTGCTGGTTTCACTGACATTTTTGCTAAGCCTTGAATTCAGCAAGCACCAACATTTTATGATACTAGAATTTCCAGTTCACAGACATGGACACTGCCAAAAAGCATATGAGGTCTTGGAAACAAGCTAAATGTCTAACAAGAAACAATTAGTTAAATCATGGGCAGATGGCATCCCCCAAATTTAAGCAATCCACAAAGGTCGCAATGTAGTATCTGTTTTTCTGCTATAGAAAGGTATTCACAAGATACTAGCAAATGAAAAGAGATCATGTATAAAAACTGCCCATTTTTTTGGGTATTTTATATGTCTGTAACTATTTGTATGTATAGGAAAAGGTATAAAAGGAGACACTATAAACTATTAACATTAAATTATCTCTGGGTGTCGGGGTTTTGAGTGATTATCATCTTCATTTTCTATATTTTCTACAATAGACATGCATTACTGTAGCACACACATCAAGAAAATAATAAAAACACCCTTTCCCCATCTCTGATGCCCAGCCTTGTTCACATCGCACTACCCTGCACCACAGCAGCTCTCTTTTCCTTGTTTCCCATATACAAACCGTTGGCAATATTGGTGTTGCCAATCAGAGCACCTGATAACCCAGATACCACTCAGACTAAGGCTAGGCAGAGAAGGATCATAACTTCCTCAAAGAGAGATTTAGAAGAGATTACTTCCCATATTAGACAGTAGATTTTTCTAAAGAAATAAAATCCCCTCCAACACCATTGGTGGGAATGTAAATTGGTTCAACCATTGTGTAAAGCGATATGGAGGCTCCTCAAAAAAGTAAAAATAGAAATACCATTCGACCCAGGAATTCCACTCCTAGGAATTTATGCAAAGAAAACGATCCCTGATTCGAAAAGATATATGCACCCCTATGTTCATCGCAGCACTATTTACAATAGCCAGGACATGGAAGCCACCTAAGTGTCCATCAGTAGATGAATGGGTAAAGAAGATGTGGTACATATACACAATGGAATATTATTCATTCATAAAAAGAAAAGAAACCCTACCATTTGCAAAAAGATGGATGGAGCTGGAGGGTATTATGCTCAGTGAAATAAGTCAGGCAGAGAAAGACAGATACCACATGATTTCACTCATTTGTGGAGTGTAAAAACAATGCAAAACTGAAGGAACAAGAAAGCAGTAGACACACAGACACTGAGAAGGAACTAGTGGTTACCAAAGGCGGAGGGAAGGGAGTGAAGAGGGAGGGAGGAGGGGATTAAGGGGCACTGTAATTCACAATTACAACACAGGCAGGTCACAGGGAAGGCAGCACAGCACCAAGACAATTAATGACTCTATAGCGTCTTACAGCGCTGGCGGACAGCGACCACAGAGAGGGGCTGAGGATTTGATCACATGGGTGAATGCTGAGAAACCACTGTGTTGTGTATGTGAAACCATCACAAGATTGTATATCAATGATACTTTAATTTTTTAATGAAAAGAAAGAAAAAGTCAGTGGTTTGTGCTGACATGGGTGAAACAATCCACTGACTCGGCTTACAAGGACTTTTGAACCCAACAGACATACATTTACATTCAAATCCTGGCCCTGCCACTTATTACCTATGTGATCCAAGGTCACCTAGGCTCTTTGGGCTTCAGTTTGTTCATGGATTAATAAACCTTTCTTGCAGGGTCTCTATAATAATTAGATGGATTGTATATCTGATGAAAAACAGATACTCTCAATAGATGAGATATTATTGGTAGAAATGTTATGAGTAAGAATCAGAATACTGAATATAGCCAAGGTTAGCCAAGCAAATCAAACCAGCTTCTCAGCATCACAGGACCCCATCATCTTCTAGTCCTAACAAAGTGCTGATGCCTTTTAAAGATGATCAGTGCTTGACTCAAGAAGCCCTTTCTCTTTCATATTCCTTCTCCTGGACAGGGCCTTCATAACCAGCCAGAGGATCCAATTCCTAGATGATCAGCAGCTCTAAGCGGTGGCCCTGCTTTGCAGCTTGGAGAGAGGGGCACTCTGAGGCCCTCTCGAGCCAGTCCTTAACCTGCGTGACCCCAGCCATGTCTAGGCCATCCTCCTCAGCAGAGCCCCTACTCTTAGGTGCATCATATCATCTCCTGTATCTGCCACATATCTTTCTTGATTGTCCTCTTATTTCTTCTTAGGGTCTTGAAAGGACTGCTTTTGGAGGGAGGGGGTCTCTCTTGGGGGAAAAAATAAACCTGTGACCATCGTACCAATGAACAATGTACCAAAAATCCAAAGACCCTTTTCCTTTTCTTCCCTCCCTTAACTTACTATGAAAAATTTTGAAACCTACAAAAAACTGGAAGAATAGTAGTATGTACTCATACATTCTTAGGTCAAAAGCTATCATTTTGCAATGTTTGCTTCTCTTTATACAAACACATAGTTTATTTTTTACTGAACTATTTAAAAGTAAGTTTTAGACGTTATAACATTTTACTCTTAAATATTTATTTAGTAGAACAAGGACATTGTCATACAGAACAATACCACTATCACACTTAAACAATTAAACACTGATACAATAATATTACCTAATACACAGCCTGCAATTGCCCAAACAAGTTTGTCCCTAACAGTTTTTTTTTTTGCCCAAACTGAGGTTCCAATCAGGGGTCACACATTGCCTTTAGTGATCATGTCTTTTTACTCCACAATGGTTCCTCATGGCATTAACTTAGAAGAGTCTATGCTAGCTTTCATATAGTATGTCCCACAATCTGGATTTGTCTGGTTTATTTCTCATGCCTACATTCAGAAACTGGCAACATACAACACAGGTTATGATTAGATTCAAAACTGGCAACATACAACATAGGTCATGTTGTACAGTTCTCACTCGATTACAACAGGAGGCATGCAATATCAGTCCACTACTCATGATACTAAGTTTGACCGCTTGGTGAAGGAGGTATCTGCCAGATCTTTTGCAGGCCATGCTCTGCAACAGTCAAAGGGCCTTCAGTCCACAGAGTGGCCTGTTATGTCCTCCTGTGTTGTGATTTCTTCCCACCTTCTTTGAAGGCAACCAGTATTCTCCTTAAGATGGCACAGGCCAGGTCAGAAGGAGTACTGGGGCCCACGGAAGCATTTATAAAGAACTCCATCTGATATCCTCCTAGAGCCCAGTACTTCACTGTCAGATCTGGCACAGACTATCCACGTCAGGAGACTGCTGGGCTCCTCTGTGATAGGACAGGGACCAGCACAAGCCTCTTAGGACAGCAACCCCATTAACATATGCGGCTCATTCTCTGGGAAGTCCCACTGCCATTCTTGGCTTTGTACCAGATACAAGAGCATCTCACTGGCCAGAGAGTTCTGGTGATTTCAGAATCTGCCAGTGCGTCCCTTGAGTTGGCAATATTAGGACACTCCAAAAACTTTTAACACTGCTGTCTGTTCAAATCTCCAGTTTATCTCTATGCAGTGAGTTTCCAGGCACATTTGGTATAAAAACTCTATCACCTTCTTTCTTCAATAACCTCTGGTCTAGTGGCCACATCACCTCAAGTCACCATTTCTTTTAAAAATCATGCTATCATGTGGTGCAAGGAATCACAGGTAGATGGCACAAAACCAACTTGTGAGGGGTGGACTCACTCACCTTGTGTGCCAATGTAAGCATTCTTCTGCTTGTAGCCGTCCATGAAACTGGCATTGATGTAATCCGTCTAATGAGAAAAAGGAAATATGACTGCAGCTTCATGGAATATCTCACTTGGGTGGGAAAATGATGTACTAGGTAAATAAACCCAAGGTGTGGATATTCATCTCTTGTCAGGCAGAAAATGAGGAGTGAAAGGGTCAATTCAAAACCTCACTTCTACAAATGTTGCTGGGACAACTGATATCCACATATAGAAAAAAATAAAATGAAGCTGACTCCTTGACCGTACACAAAAACCAACTCAAAATGGATTACAGACCTAATGTAAGGGCTAAAATGATAAAACTCTTAGAAGAAAATGTAGGATTAAATCTCTGTGACCTTGGGTTAGGCAGAGCCTTTTTAGATGATACCAAAAGCACAAGCAAAAAAAGAAAAAAACAGGTAACTTGAACTATGTAAGAATTGAAAACTTGTGCTTCAAAGGACATCATCATCAAGAAAGTGAAAATCAACCCACAGAAACTTGATAAGAGATTTGTATCCAGAACAGATAACGTACTCTCACAACTCAATAGTAAAAGGACAATCCAATTTTAAACGCAAAGGATCAGAGGATTAAAATAGCCATGTCTCCAAAGAAAATATATAAATGGCCAATAAGCACATGAAAAGATGCTTAATATCATTAGCCTTCATGGGGAATGCAAATCAAAACCACAATGAGATACCAGTTCACACTCAGTAAGGTGGCTATAGGCAAAAGATAATAATACTGGCAAAGATGTAGAAAAACTGGAATCCTCCTACACTTAATAATAATGTAAGATGGTGCAGACACTCTGGAAAATAGGTTGGCAGTTCCAAAAAAGGCTGAACACAGAATTACAAGACCTAGCAACTTCACTACTGAGGGAAATGAAAATATATATTCACAGAAAAACTTATACACAAATATTAATAGCAGCATTATTCATAACAGCCCCAAAATGGGAACTAAAATGGTATTCAGGAGATGGATGGATAAACAAAATGTGGTATATCCATACAATGGAATATTATTTAGCAACTAAACGTAGTGGAATACTGATACATGTTACACCATGGATGATCCTTCTAAACATGCTAAGTGAAAGAAGCCAGACACAAAAGGCCATATGACTGCATTTATATGAAATGTCCATAATAGGCAAATCTATAGAGACAGAAAGTAGACAGCAAGTAGGTGAACTGGGATGGGCTGGAGGGGAATGAAGAGTGCCTGCCAAACATATGGCATTTCTTTTTTGGGTGATAAAATGTTCTAAAATTGACTGTGGTGATAATTGCACAATTCTGTGGATATATTAAAATACACTGAATTATATACTTTAAAATAGTCAAATTGTATGGTATGTGATTTGTATCTCAATAAAGCTGTTATTTACCAAAAAAGGAGTCCATTAGGACTTGCAGCACTGTAGTTCAGAACCAAAAGGGACACAAACCAAGCAATCTGGGCAAGAACACCTTGTCCATGCTGCCACACAGAAAACGCAGAGTGACTGCAGAAGGGAAGAAAGCTCTATCCCTCCTCATCCAGGACCATCAATGGCCTAGGGCCAAACGCCCAGGCTCTGTCTGTGAGTCAACACAAGGCGACAGCCAGACCGATCCAGAAGAGTCCGATGAACAGCTCCTCACTCGTTCTCTTCGGGGGCCTTCTCCTATGTACCAATGTCCTCAGTCTTCAACTTACTTCATTATTTGCCATCAGAAAAATTAAATAGGATCTAGTTTTTTATTATTTTTATTATACCTCCTCACAAGATTTCTGCAATGTCCTTTAATCCAAGCTGATTAAAGAGAAACACGATGCAGCTACAGTTTCAAATCATGGTACAACTACCTGAGAGCATCTAGCAGCTACAATGGATGGTGGAGTATGTGGAGGGTTAAAGGAAGACAAAATAAAGCACGCTTCAATAGCAGCATACTAGGGAAAACCCACACTCCACTCCACTGTTAAGGAGGTCGGCGTGACTGCCCCACACCCCATCTGCCTTTCACTGAGTTCTATCACATGGAGGGCAGTTCAAACTGTCAGTACCCTAACGCCACTCAGAAGACATCTCCATCTCATCATCAAACCCATGTTACTTGAATATATACATCCATTAGCCAGGCATCTACCAATCTATCCTCCCACTAATTACTTCTTCAAGAGTTTCCTGCTGTTATCTCTTCCCACAGCAGTTGGTAGTGGCTTTATACTAGTGTTCCACCCTGACTGAGACATCTTCACTGAGCTAACCTGCAGCAGACGCAGCAAGAGCTTCACGTACTCCCAACCAGGCTTCTCACTCCAGGGCCCACCCATATTCAGCCAAAGCCCATGCTCTGCTCAACCTGTCACATACAGTGGTATACCCTGTAGGATCCAGGTGAGAAGGGACAGAAAAGTACAGCGGATTTACGTGGTACATGCCTATCATCATTACTATATAACTAATATGTGAGCCGTCCCTCCTGGAACTACCTTCATTCTTTGAAAAGAAATTATCACCTCCTTAAGGGAGACTTTTTTAAAATTACGGTATGATTGACATACATTCTTATGAAAGCTTACCACGAAAAATAACATGGCTACTACATTCACCCACCCATACTACACTGCACTGACTGTCCAAAAGCATAGTCAGATGCCAGATTCACTATGTCCCTCCTCTGTGCTACACTGTCTTCCCATGACCCCCACACCATGTGTACTAAATAAAATACCCCTGAACCCCCTTCTCCCTCCCTCCCCACCCGCCCTCCCCTTTGGTAACCGCTACTCTCTTCTTGGGGTCTGTGATTCTGCCGCTGTTTTGTTCCTTCAATTTTCCTTCGTTGTTATGCTCCACAAATGAGGGAAATCATTTGGTACTTGTCTTTCTCCGCCTGGCTTATTTCACTGAGCATCATACCCTCTAGCTCCATCCATGTTGTTGCAAATGGTAGGATTTGCTTCTTTCTTAAGGCTGAATAATATTCCATTGTGTATGTGTACCACATCTTCTTTATCCATTCATCTACTGATGGACACTTAGGTTGCTTCCATATCTTGGCTATTGTAAATAGTGCTGCAATAAACATAGGGGTGCATCTGTCTTTTTGAGTCTGAGAAGTTCTATTCTTTGGGTAAATTACTAGGAGTAAGATTCCCGGATCAAATAGTATTTCTATTTTTAGTTTTTTGAGGAACCTCCATATTGCTTTCCACAATGGTTGAACTAGCTTACATTCCCACCAGCAGTGTAGGAGGGTTCCCCTTTCTCTGCAACCTTGCCAGCGTTTATTCTTCTTAGTTTTTTTGATGTTGGCCATCCTTACTGGTGTGAGGTGATACCTCATTGTGGTTTTAATTTGCATTTCCCTGATGATTAGTGGTATGGAGCATCTTTTCATGTGTCTTTTGGCCATCTGAAATTCTTCTTTGGAGAACTGTCTCTTCATATACTCTGACCATTTTTTAATTGGGTTATTTGCTTTTTCTGTGTTGAGGCATGTAAGTTCTTTATATATTTTGGATGTTAACCACTTGTTGAATGTGATGTTTACAAATATATCTTCCCAAACTGTAGGTGAATTTTTTGTTCAGTTGATGGTGTCCTTTGCTGTACAGAAGCTTTTTAATTTGATGGAGACCATTGGGTTCATTTTTCCTTTATTTCCCTTGCTCAAGGAGATGCGTTCAGAAGGAAGTTGTTCATGTTTCTATTCAGGAGATTTTCACCTATGCTGTCTTCTAAGATTTTTATGCTTTCATGACTTACATTCAGGTCTTTGATCCATTTCGAGTTTACTTTTGTTGTATGGGGTTAAACAATAATCCACCTTCATTCTCTTGTATGTAGCTGTCCAGTTTGGCCAACACCAGTTGTTGAAGAGGCTGTCATTTCCCCACTGTACATCCGTAGCTCCTTTACCGTATATTAATTGACCATATATGGTTGGCTTTATGTCTGGGCTCTCTAGTCTGTTCCACTGGTCTGTGGCTCTGTTCCTGTGCCAGTGCCAAATTGTCTTGATTACTTTGGATTTGTAGTAGAGCTTGAACTTTGGGAGCGTAATCTACACAGCTTTATTCTTCCTTCTCAAGATTGCTTGGCTATTCGGGGTCTTTTGGGGTTCCATATGAATTTTAGAATGATATGCTTAGTTCATTGAAGAATGTTGTTGGTATTTTGATAGAAACTGCATTGAATCTGTAGATTGCTTTAGCCAGGGTGGCCATCTTGACAATATTAGTTCTTCCTACCCAAGAGCATGGGATGAATTTCCATTTATTAGTGTCCTCTTTAATTTCTCTTAGGAGTGTTTTGTAGTTTTCAGTGTATAGGTCTTTCACTTCCTTGGTTACGTTTATTCCTAGGTATTTTATTCTTTTTGATGCAATTGTGAATGGAATTGTATTCCCAGTTTCTCTTTCTGGGAGCATTCCCTCCTCTTCTATTTTTTGGAAAACTTTAAGGAGAACGGGTATTATGTCTTCTCTGTACATCTGATAAAATTCCAAGGTAAATCCATCTGGCCGGGGGTTTTGCTCTTGGGTAGTTTTTTGATTACCGTTTCAATTTCATTGATGATAATTGGTCTGTTTAGATTTTCTGTTTCGTCCTTGGTCAGTCTTGGAAGGTTGTATTTTTCTAGGAAGTTGTCCATTTCTTCTGGATTTTCCAGCTTGTTAGCATATAGATTCTCATAGTATTCTCTAATGATTGTTTGTATTTCTGTGGGGTCCGTCATGATTTTTCCTTTCTCGTTTCTGATTCTGTTGATGTGTGTAGATTCTCTTTTTCTCTTAGTAAGTCTGGCTAGGGGTTTATCTATTTTGTTTATTTTCTCAAAGAACCAGCTCTTGGTTTCATTGATTTTTTCTATTGTTTTATTCTTCTCAATTTTATTTATTTCTTCTCTGATCTTTATTATGTCCCTCCTTCTGACTTTGGGCCTCACTTTTTCTTCTTTTTCCAATTTCAATAATTGTGACTTTAGACTATTCACTTGGGATTGTTCTTCTTCCTCAAAGTAGGCCTGGAT